AACAAAGAAACGAGAAGCATACTAAACACAGAATAACAAATGGGCACAAGTTAAAGTAATATACACTAAGCACATACGGATAATGCTGTCTAACTGAATCTAGTTCCCTGGGAATCTGCACGGAGGCTGATGCAGTTGATTTGGTAGAGTTTCATTCCGGAATGCACATTCGCGCAAAAGGGCCTCGCGGAAGGGCTTTAAGAGGTACGTAGTTCGAAGTATTCGTATAGAAAATTTATTCTGTTGCAGAGAATGTCATCGTCCATCCTCCCTGCGTACGAGACTTCGAGACCAGTTCTTTAATTTGAAGCCGCTTAGAGGCCAGCGTCAGAGAACACACGTGTTAGTCGCAGTCTAAAGAGGGGAGAGATCAGGAAAACATTTTTGGCTCCACTGCTTTTCGCTGGCCATTCGTAACACCTTGCATACGTAGGAGAGCAAGCCTGCTGCCGAATCATGGGCCATAGGTTATGCATCCAGCGAAAACGTGGTTGAGAATCAGCGCCGTGGAGATTCTGCCTTTCGTGTACTCAGAAATGTGGACCGCATTCAGCCGTCCGTGCAAGACATTATAGGTACGGGTACCATCTCCACCATAAGTTGAAGGCGAACAAATCGTGAAGTATGAATATGGCGACACATCACGAAGCACTATCATGCTTATGCCTACCGCGGTTGCAAAACAGTGATCCAGTTGGTCACACGGCATGAAACATTAAGCATCCAAACTGTAGCTAGAACAGCTAGAATATGCGAACGTTCGCTCGTTCTTGTGTCATGTAAAAGAAGAAGAACTGTTCAGAGAATACAGCTGCAGCGGCATAGATAAACGGTGCAGCACGTATTCAGTGAACAATTCTTGATGACATTTGAGGTGCATGCCGGTTCCACGTTCGCTGGATGGACGAGGTTGCTCACATTCACGAGTTTACTGACCTAATATGCTCATCGTATATGACAGCAGAGGACTGGACGACATTTCTTATTCTCTGTGCGAACCACTCTATGATTAGGGAGCGAGTAGCCATGAAGACGGGTTTGCTGATGTTTGACACCTGGTACATGCTTGCTGTAAATCTGCTCAGATGGCTCATGAGGCATCAGCTTGAGATCTTCGCTGATTAATATGGGAAAGTTTCTGAATCGACGATCTGCTTTCGTGTTAAGTCTTTCATTCGTCGTAAACCGAGTTTCATTATATAACTGACGTATAAAACACTCCTGAAATTGTCGTGCCTTAATCAGTCTGTGGAGCTTGTCTCATTGGCAAAAGAATGGTACCAGTTTCAAATCATGCTGATCTTACTGCCCCACAAGACGTAAGAGATTGAAATTGCTGGATAATATCCAGATCGATCTCACAAGCAACATGTCTGAGTCTAAATCAGAGTACATTACAAGATTACTCGAGAGAGGAGATCTATCGACTGTACGAAGTAGGTTCGCCGGTCACAGGCCCATGTCAACTGTATCAAACCTATCAGCCGTTTTAATTTCCGACTACTAACTATATTTGCGCTCTGTTTAGATCAACATGCATATAAAGCAAGGAATTCATTGACTGCTAGCGGCGTTCTCGACAAGATGACACATGTCAGTTATTATGTTGCACTTCTCTTTTATAACGCGGGATCAGTTTCCGTACGTTCAGTACCTTTGATCTGGACTGCTGTAAACGTTGCGCTCTGTTCCAAAGGTTTAAGGTGCGCAATTCCACTCCATTCCTAGTTTTGTGGGATTTCAAGGGAAGTACAGTTTGCGATCTGAGAAAAGGAGGCATTGGAAAGTCGTGCGATGTCGGTTTGAATTCATATGCTCCATCTTAAATTTTCCTTATCGACCGTTGATTCCTTTTACGCAGATCCTCCCTTTGTGAATATGCAAACTAGCAGAGCAAATTAATGACCGAAAAATGACAAAAGAATTTTGTATTCAAGTGTGGTGATGCCAGTTTGCGCCACTTACGACCGTTATTTCTGATACGGTTGTAGTTAATCTTGAACCTCCTGACAGTTGACTTGATATGACTTGATAATCACGTAGTGTAACCTGTAAGTGGAAGGAAATATATGGTGTTCATTTCGAATATCGTTCGTTCTACATGGTGGACGCGCTTAATCTGCCACCTTCGTTTTGATCTGATGACTTTGATTATCATAAATTGTTCAGGGGATGGCAGGCCGATGAAAACTTTTCAGCATGCATTCTTCGAGTTGCTACGGATGATGGTCCAAAGTATTTTCGTTTGCGTTGACTGTTTTTGTCATGAAGAGAGCCACGTTCTGGACATATGAAGTTACAAGCTCCTTAAGAGCTGACCGTCCAGGTTGACTTTTTTGGAACGTACTATTGTAACGGAGGACAGTTTTAAGAAATTGACCTAGTCCGTTGTGAATTACAAGAATTACAGAAATGGTGGTCTTCCATTCGTACTTGCGATGGTTTCTGTTTTTCGGGGATTATTACTATGATGTATTTTGGACGCAAATCACCTTCGTTACGGCTGCGTGTTCGTCAACCGCTTGGTCAAATGCTTTCGTTTGTTTAGAGGACGGTGAACTGAGGCGGACTTTGCAATCGTTGGCTTGTGGAAAGTTTCGCGTAATCCTCAAGACTCCTCGAGTAAGTTTACAAGATTGTCTAGCGTTTGGCGCCTTTACAAATGCCTCATCGCTAACTTGATCATTCTAGGGACGAGATGTAGACGACGGTGATCGTTTTATTTTTAACGAAAAGTTCGACGACAAACTTATCAGAATTAAAATCAACCAAATTCAGATGAAAGAGACGGTAGGCTATCGAGACGCGACGATTTATCGATGAATCAAACACCATCGTTTTGCTTCTTTTTTTCAGAAACAGGAACTGCAGCAGACGACGGAACAAATCTATCAGGATCGACAGTATCAGATCGATGCCGCTATCGTGCGAATTATGAAAATGAGAAAAATTCTCAGTCATAACTTGCTGATTTCAGAACTTTACAGTCAGCTTCGTTTCCCCGTTAAGGTATGTGCATTTTGTCTCGTGTCGTTATTGTACGTAGAGTCAACGAGGCAATAGGTGAACGGCATCGGCAAACGAACACGCGGAATACTGTTGAACATTTGGATGTTTTAATAATCGTTTTCTAAATTTTTAGAATAAGTGTTTCTTACTGACCGTTTTCTACTCTTTTTCCTGACCATCAGTTTGTCCTTCTTTCGCCCACTTGTGCCTCTTTGAAACTGATTAGATTTCTTCTCTGTATACCTGTCATAAAATATGCTATGAATGGCACAGTTATCCAACTCCATCGTTTTCGATGATCATCCGACGTTCACTCGTTTCTGTGGCTTGCATTTATAGAGAACAGAAAAGCTTTTCTGAGTTGCGGCAAGATTTAACCATGAATGAGGCATGATGAAACGGTGCTGAGGTAGGGAGTTTTTAGTTCCGACATTGCGCGGCAGCAAAATGCAGGCTGACTTAATCGCTTAGGTCTTCTCCTGTCCATTTGTCTTGCTACGGTTTTGAATCCACTTTGGCCATTTCTGGAATCTTTATTGCCAGTTTGCTTCTTGGCAAAAAGCTTTTGCTGGAGTGCGCGATTCCTCACGATGCTGACCTGCGCAGTGGCTGAACCCTGTTTTGTGTAACGTAGCTCAGGTGTTCTCTCCTAATTATTTAGTTTCCGCCCAGTTTCCTTATTCCAGCTGTCTTCACGATCGTAATTAAGGCGGTATGTAGCTCCAAGCGTTTGCTGTCGAAATGCGATGTCATTCTTTTACGGCAGAAGTTGCCAGTCGTCTTTTATGAATTTTTTCATTGTTTCCAATGTCCTCTTTCAGATGTGCTATCTGATGACTGTTGGTTCAGCTTTTGATTAAGCACGCGAAATTGTTTTCAAATAAAGGCTTCTTGAGAGTTTCTGTTCATTCGTTCGTTGAATATCTTATCGGCCTGGTCTTTAGAAGTTGTGTGTGCGCAAGTATATCTTCGCACATCTGAAGTATGAAGTTTGTGCTATTGCAGCTTTTACAGATATTGGAGTAAGGGATCAACTATCGATATGTCGTCATCTGTGAATCAGCTTCTTGCAGAATGTCAACATCTATGCATCTACCTCCCTGTATTATAGAAG